CCCTCCCCTACTCACGTCCTGCCTCTCTCTCTCAGAAATAAGCATTAAAAATTTAAAGAAAAAAAAATGCTTTTCACATTTTTATTTTTTAAATGTTTATTTTTGAGAGAGAGAAAGAGAGAGTGCATGTGGGTGAGGGGCAGAGGGAGAGGGGGACAGAGGATCTGAAGCAGACTGTGTGCTGGCAGCAGAGAGCCCTATTCAAGGCTCAAACTCACCAACCGTGAAATCATGACCTGAGCCGAAGTCAGACACGTAACCAACGGAACCACCCAGGCACCCCTGTTTTTCACATTTTTAAATGGCTGGCAGGATTAAAAAAATAAATCAAAATAATACTTCATATTATTTTCATATGTGAATTTATGTGAAATTCAAATTTCAGTGTCTGTAGGTAAAACTTTATTGGAACACAGCTACTCCCACTTGTTTGTATATTGTCTGCACTGCTTTGCAATAGCAGAGTTGAGTGGCTGGCAGAGACTATATGACCACAAAATCTAAAATATGCACCATCTGGCCTCTTTACAGAAAAAGTATGCTGATACATGGTGGAGGTAACTCTTAATCACTTATGCTTTTTTTTTTTTTTTTTAAAGGGGGTGGGCGCCTGGGTGGCTCAGTTGGTTGAGCATCCAGCTTCGGCCCAGGTCATGATCTCACCATTTATGGTTTCGAGCCCCGCGTGGGGCTCTGTGCTGGCAGCTTGGAGCCTGGAGCCTGCTTCGAATTCTGTGTCTCCCTCTCTCTCTCTGACCCTCCCTGCTCACGCTGTCTCTCTGTCTCTCTCTCAAAAATAAATAAAACATTAAAAAAAAAAAATACTGCAGGGAACATCCAAGGCCTGTGAGACCAGAAGTCAGTGGCTTCTTCCGGCTGCCACCTGGCTGGTTTCAGGCTGGCCAGTCTGGTCTTTCAGCTCTTGTACTGTAGCTCATTGGCTCCACCCTCAAGCCTTTGCCTCTACTAAAGAGCCCTTACCCCCACAACTTTGAACCCCACAAGGGTCTTCTATTTCTTCTTCCGGTTTCAGGTACAAAGTCTTTGCTTCAGAAAAGCTTTCCCAGATCTCCTCCTCCCAACCAAATTCAGCACAGTACTCAGTTTGGTAGTCTCTCCTTTCAATAAGCCTTGTGAGTGCCTCACTACATCAGGCACTGGGTCCATCACTACTACAGTTGACCCTTGAACATTGCAGCGCTGAGGGGTGCCACCCTCCCACCACTTCCCCCACTGTAAAAAAGCTCCAGTAGAACTTCTCATCCAGTAGAACTTCTGACTCCTCCCAAACTGCCTTCTGTTGACTAGAAGCTTTACTGATAACATAAAACAGGGGCATCTGGGTGGCTCAGCCGGTTAGGCGGTCTGACTTCAGCTCAGGTCATGATCTCACCATTCGTGAGTTCAAGCCCCACATAGGGCTCTGTGCCGACAGCTCAGAGCCTGGAGCCTGCTTGGGATTCTGTGTCTCCCTCTCTCTCTCTCTCTGACCCTCCCCCACTCACGCTCTGTCTCTCAAAAATGAACAAATATTTTTTTTTTTTTCTAGGAGAGAGAGAGACACAGCGTGAGCAGGGGAGGGTCAGAGAGAGAGGGAGTCACAGACTGAAACAGGCTCCAGGCTCTGAGCTGGCAGTCAGCACAGAGCCCGACGAGGGGCTAGAACCCACGAACCGAGAGATCATGACCTAAGCGAAAGTCGGACGCTTAACCGACTAAGCCACCCAGGTGCCCCGAACAAATATTTTTTAAATGATAACATAAAACAGTTGACTAACATGTTTTTTGTATATGTATTATATACAGCATTTTTTCTTTCTCCTTCCTTCCTTCCTTATTTATTTACTTCTGAGAGAGAGAACGAACAGGGGAGGGGAAGAGAGGGAGACACAATCAAAGCAGGTTCCATGCTCCCAGCTGTCAGCACAGATCCTGACAGGCGGCTCAAACTCAGGAACTACGAGATCAGGATCTGAGCCCAAGTCATACGGCTGAGCCATCCCAGCAGCTCTACCACAGCTTTAGAAAGGGATAGATACAGATGTAAATCCATGCACACATATCATACTAGCCTGGTTAAAGGGGAAGAATTTTTACAAAATCAGTTATGTGTGATGATTCAGTCACCCCTGCAGACAGGCACCTAGGAGAAGGCCGGACGTTCCCTCACTCTCAAACCTGTAACTTACTTGGCTAAAATCTCAATCCCCTCACCTGTAAAACGTAAAACAACTACTCTTACCTACGCCAGTAATCACCCGAGCGGTTTTTCCACGTGAAAACACCTTAGTGCTCACAAATCATTGACACTTCTTCCGTAACCGGTTGACGTAACCGGGATAAAAAGTCACTGATTAGAATTTTTTGTAACTACTACTTTATATGCCGTCATCTAAACAACGAAACCCAAGGGCAACACCAAACAAAACAATTAAGAACTTTCTTTAAACCTCTTGAGCTGAAGCTCTAAACCTTTCTTTCCGTACTACTCAAGACAGGGGCGCCGGGACCAACGATCACCAGCTGCCCAAGTACCAAAAAATTATGCTTCCGAAATCTCTTGATGTCGATTCCGCACGCAAAGCAATGGAGCTGCCCTACGTGTGCCACTCACGACAGAAGCCCTTTTTGCCTGCACGGGCGCGAAGGCAGGGTGGCAGTGTTGGCGAATCCCTTTTTTGATAAAGGTGAAAACAAAGCTAACGCAATTTCCTATTCCACGTTTCAAGTTGAGGGGTGGGGGCAGGGTCTGCAAGACATTCTGGCCAGAGAGCAATCTTCACAAGAAGACTCTTAGGATTTGTCCTTTCGATTTTTATATAGAAGTAAAGGCAAGGACGTAAATTGATATGCAAATATGCGCGGTGCTTGCTGGGAAGGGGCCGGCGGACGCAGAGGGAGGGACCAGGAAGAGCTTTTGCAGGAGAGGGCGGGGCCAGCTGCCTCCGGCTGCAGTGGGCATGGGGTGGCACCTGTTGTACGCTGCGCCGCAGATCCGCTTCTGGGCGGCTGTGGGTACCCATCTGCAGAAGACACGAATCCCACCCTATTAAAATTGAAAATGCACAACCTTGTGCCACCCCCGGCCGTCGACCCTGAAGGGGTCCCACCAGGGAAGCACTGGCAGCACAGCTTCCCTGTAAGAGAAAAATCGGGAGCAAGCTAATCTGCTAACGGATTAGCAGAGTGTAGTGTGTTCATAAAGTGGAATGTTCGCTGCTGCGCTGCCAGGAGTGAATTAGACACCCAAAAGCATTGAGTGACAAGAGTTGAACAATAAGGTACAGCATGACGACGATTAACGTGCAGGGGAAAAAAAAATCAATAACTACGTTTGGATTGACTGAAGTAGATCTTTATCAACAGATATTTAAAAAATGAGTGAAGGTGTTGAATAGAATATCACATTAAGTGATCAGTGTAAACAAAGAGCATACATGTGTGCACATAAAAACCCAGGGCTATATATTTTCTAACGCCACATATTTTATTAACTTTCTAAAATAGATTTGCAAGAACACACATCAATGATTACTTCTGGGAAGGAGGGAAGGATGAGAGTCATGATACACACGTTTCCTATGTACAAATACATAGATTTTTTAAATGTTTTACGTGTAATATTCTAATTATTTGAAATAATTTACAGGAATGATTTACCTGTAATATTCTATTTCAAAAAAGCATAATGAGCTATTTTATTACTTGTATAATTGAAAATATTTTTTAAATTGTTCTTGCTTCGGGGGAACTGGGAGCCCTGGGGGGCTCAGTCATTTAAGCATCTGACTCTTGGTTTTGGCTCAGGTTATATATAGTCTCATGGTTCATGGGATGGAGGATACTTGGGATTCTCTCTTTATCCTTCTCTATGTGCCCCATCACCACCTTGTGCTCTTTCTCTTTCTAAAAAAATAAATAAACATTAAAACAAAGTATTAAAAAAAATTGTCTTTGCTTTCTGCATTTTCTCCCTATATTTCATTTTCTAAAGTCGGGTTTGTTGATATGTAATTTACATATAAATATATCTTTTTTATCATATGGTTTAACAAACTCATATAGACATGTATCTGGTACCACAACCAATCAAATGTCAAACATTTCTATCACCCACAAAAGTTCCTTTGTTTCCTTTTCTAATCACCTTCTTCCCCTAGTCCCAATCTTGGTAATCAGTGCTCTTCTCTGGAACTGTAGTTTTGCCTTTTCCAGAATGGCATAAAAATGGAATCAATCACATATACTTGATTTAATACAAAAACAGTATGTGCTAATTGTAAAAATGTTGAAACAGTACAGAAGTGTGAGAATGTTTTCCCCAAACTACTATGAACGGTTTAGTGTTTCCCTTGCCAGACTGTTTCCTAAGTACATATAGATTTTTTTTATATTTTATTTATTTTTGAGAGAGAGAGCATGAGTTAGGGAGGGGCAGAGCAAGACAGGGACCAGAATCCAAAGCAGGCTCCAGGCTCCTAGCTGTCAGCATAGAACCTGACATGAGGCTCAAAGTCACAAGCCGTGAGATTGTGACCTGAGCCGAAGTCATCTGCTCAACTGACTGAGCCACCCAGGAGCCCCTACATAGATTTTTTTTTTTAATTTTTAAATTTTTTTTAGAGAGAGAGTGCGAGTGCTTGAGTGGGGGAAGGGTGGGGGAAGGGACATGGGGAGGGGAGAGAGAGAGAGAGAGAGAGAAAATATCTCCAGTAGCCTCCACGCTCAGTGCAGAACCTGACATGGGGTTCAATTACACAACCCTGTGATCGTGACGTGACCTGAGCCAAAATCAAGTGTCCAACACTCAACTACTGAGCCACCCAGGCTCCCCTACATAGATTTTTTGAAACAAAAAATATAGACCATCAGGCATTTTACTCTCCTTAATATATTTTATTTTTAAATAAAAGTTTAATATACGTAAGTTAATATACAGTGCAATATTGTCTTCAGAAACAGAATTCAGTGATCAATTCACTTACATACAAAACACAGTGAAAAATACGTAATGCTTCACGAATTTGCATGTCATTCTTGTGCAGTGGACATGCTAATCTTCTCTGTGCTATTCCAATTTTAGTATATATAGTACTGAAGTAAGCACTAATATATATTTTTTTAAATATTTTTATTTATTTCTAGGAGAGAGAGAGAGACAGCGTGAGCAGGGGAGAGTCAGAGAGAGGGAGACACAGACTCGGAAGTAGGCTCCAGGCTCTGAGCTGGCAGTCAGCACAGAGCCCGACGTGGGGCTCGAACCCACAAACCGTGAGATCATGACCTAAGCAAAGTCGGACACTTAACCGACTAAGCCACCCAGGTGCCCCAGCACTAATATATTTTAATAATATATAGAAGTACCTGACCTCTTCAAAGTAGAAGCTTCAAGAGAAGGGAGTCACATAAACGGCTCTTCCACAATAATAGGAAGCAGACCTGTAGTGTAAACAGGCAGGAAGCCTAGCACGGCACTGTCAGTTGTGTTTGTTGGGGGCTTCTCCTATAATCAATCCACTGGTCATTTTTTAAACACAGATCATTATTTGGGGCACCTGGATGGCTCAGTTGCTTGAGTGTCCGAGTTTAGCTCAGGTCACGATCTCATGGTTTGTGGGTTCTTATCTACTAGTATATAAACCAGGGCCTAGCAAAAGGCTTGGCACACAATGGAACACTCTGTTAAATGAGTGAATGTACATTTAAACTGGTCTTAAAAAGATGCAGTGGGAGGAAAGGTGTGCCAGATCCTCAGGAGAATGAAGAGAGCTATAGCAGGAAAATCAGGCTAAGGAAGACCGCTTGAAGCCTGATGGTAAAGGGGTCTTGAATCTAAGAATCTGCATCTGGTGGCAATGTAGAGGTGACTGGAAGTTTGATGGGCCAAAGATGAGAAGATGTAAAGACAAGAAGGCCACTGGGGGCACCTGGCTGGCTCAAAGAGCCTGTGACTCTTGATCTAGGGGTTGAGTTTGAGCCCCATGCCGGAAGTAGAGACTACTAAAAAATAAAACTTAACAAATAAATAAAATAAGCTTAAAAAATAAAAAGACAAGAAGGGCAGGTTACTGCACCAATACAGGTGGGGGACACTTCTTCCTGATTTTTGCAGGCAGTTACCATGGCTCACTTTGGGCTGTCATGGCCCTTTGTATATTCCTTTGTGTTTCCTGGTTCTTCATCTTATTGTGAATATCACATTGGTTGGGACTGGGTCTTACATACCTAGCACCTGGGATAAAGTAAAAAAGTAATCCCAAAGTGTTTGATGTAAAAACTAAAACAATCAGTTTAACAGTTACACACAGGATAGGGTTAGTTCAGAGTTCAAGTTGAGACTGCATTTATTAGAATCTTACTTAATCTCTCAGGGGTTGTATTTTATTTTAAAGTTTTATTATTATGATTTTATTCTGAGAGAGAGAGAGGGAGGGAGAGCAAGGGAGAGGCATAATCCCAAACCAGCTCCACGTTATCAGCAGGGAGGAGGAGCCCCGCCTGGAGCCTGGAACTCACCAACCTGAGATCATGATTTGAGATGAAGTCCCATGCTTAACCCACTGAGCCACTCAAGCGCCCCTCTCCGTTTTCCTTGAATGATTAAGTGATAATACGGGCTCCTGTCATCAGAAGGGAGGAGGAGCCCCACCTAAAGGCTGGAACTCACCAACCTGAGATCAGGACCTGAGATCAAGAGTCCCACGCTTGGGGCGCCTGGGTGGCTCCGTCGGTTAAGCCTCGGATTTAGGCTCAGGTCATGATCTCCTGATTCTTGAGTTTGGAGCCCCGCGGTTGGGCATATGCTGACAGCTCACAGCCTGGAGCCTGCTTCAGATTCTGTGTGTGTGTCGCTCTCTCTCTTCCGCTCCCTTGCGCATGCTCGCTCGCGCTCTCTCTCTCTCGTTCAAAAGTAAGAGTCCCACGCGTAACCCACTGAACCACTCAGGCCCCCCCCCTCAGGGGCACCTGGGTGGCTCAGCTGATTGGGCATCTGAGCCTTTATATTGGTTCAAGTCCTGGGATGGTGGGATCAAGCCCATCGTCAGACCTCTTGTGGAACCTGCTTGGGATTCTCTGTTCCTCTCTGCCCCTCCCCCATTTCAAAACATACATTTTTTAAAAGATTAAATGATACATCGGAGTTAAGAGGCTTAGCAAAGTTCCTTGATGACAGAAAGTCCTCAATTAATACTATTTGCAATCCACAGGTACAACCGGTCTCTCCTCCCCATGCTCGTGTGCTGCCAACTCCAGTGTTAGATTTCAACAGGATTACCCACGCGGTGCTGCGGTCCCAGGTGATATCTCCGTCCAGATACCACCACAAAGGCAACTAAATCAACTAAAAATGGCGACCTCCAAGCCATCCAAGGGCGTCAATTATCGGCTGTGCTAGCATATACGATACGCGGAGACTGAAAGAAACAGCAAGGGCAGGGATCGCAACGCCGGGGTAGAAGGCGACGAGTTCGCCCACGCTGCCTGTCAACCACAAGCAAGAAAATCCCCAACCGCCGGAGCAGAGCAACAGCCTGGGACCGCGACCACGTGTCAAAGGGCAGTCTGCGCCTGCGTAAACAAGGCGCGCGCCCGCCGGCCGGAAGAGCCGCGCGTTTCCGGGTTGGAGGCGGGGAGCGGTGCCGGAAGTACTCGGGGAGGGCCGAGCAGTCGGACCGGCTGCTGAGACGAACGCTTCACTGGGGCAGTCTCCGCATATCATGGGGAGATAGACGCTGCTGCCTGTGAGTCTTGGGCCCTGGCAGTTGAGGAAGAAGAGCGGGAGGAGGGAGTCAGGACCCAGACCCACAGTGGGTCAGTGTTTGAAGAGCTAGGTTGTGGAGGAGACCGGGTTGTGCGAGGAATCAGGCTGTTGGGACGGGACTAAGGGGCTCCGGGCTCGGAGAAGACGCGGCTGTGGGGATCGGGGCTGTAGACGGGACTTAGGGAACCGGGACGGATGTGAGTTCTCCGGCACCTGAGGGAAAGCGGTGTGAAAGGGACAGGATTGTGAGGACCCGCACTCTTAAGAGTAGAGGGTCGGAATGGAAAGGGGCGTGAAGACACGGGCTCCCGAAAGGTAAAAGCGGAGCTCTGAGGACTTGGGCTCCTAAGAGACAGAAGCGGGACAGTGAAGACCCAGGCTCCTAAGGGTTCAGGAACAGAGCAGCGGAGACTTAGGTTCCTGAGGGGCAGGAGCACTCAGAGACCACTTGGGTTTGGAAGGAACGGCAGCGGGCAGTGAAGACGGGCTTCTGTGGGCACGGGATCAGGGCTTGGAGACTCCGAAGTACCTGAAGGACCAGGGCTGTGAGAACCCGAGCTCCCCAGAGCGGAGACTATAAGGGGCCATGGCTGCAGGGAGATCAGCCTCCAAGAGAAAGGGAGAGAGTTTGGAAACGATGTAGTGATCCATTTTTTTTTCCTCTCTCATATTCGCTGAATCCAGAGTGGTAAAGGATGTATTCGGGGGAAGACGACCCTTCCTTCGCGCTGCCTGCTTGGCTTTTGGCAGGCTTTTCTTGTGTCAGATACTTTTATCTAGGAAAGCCCACATGCAAGCATCTTCGATTTCTGCTTAATTCTTACGAAGCTCTGATGTGAAGTTGAAGCCGTTTGAACTCAGTTATATACTTGATAAGTGGTTTAAAAACCATTCCACTCAACGCTGATTGAGCACAGATTTCAAATAAAAGAATGTTAGAACTAGGGGGACGGGGTGGCCCAGAAAGATAATCTTTTTAAAAACTCCTGTTTTATAGGTAAAGAGGCTGATGTCCAAAAAAGGCTTAGGATCACAGTGAGGCAGTGATTGATTTGATCATAATTTTGATATAGTACCCTGCTGTGCCTAGCAAACAGGAGATACTTGGCTAATATCCTTGAAAACATGCTTCTAGAATCTTTGCTTTAACGTCAAACTCAAGAAGGAAAGTTTTACAAATTTAGTACTTTATTTCAAGTCTTGTGGCTGTATTGACACCAGTACAGTGAATGTCACCAGTTAGGGAACCGTTAAAGGACCACTTCTCCCCCCTCCCTCAGCCACCCGTATAGTAAGCCATTTAGAAAGTTGCAGATAAATAAGTTATATTCTATATAGTATTTAGTATAAGCATTTATTGGAGATGGCTGCTTAGATAAGAATGTCAGGGGTACTTGGACCAGTTATTTCCCTTCAATAATATCTTTTACTGAAACCTACACAGATTAATCAGGCATTATCATAAGCACTTTCAAGTGTTATATTATTTGATTCTCAAAACCCCACAAGTTAGATATTGTTAGTCCCATTGTGCAGATAAGGACATTGGTTCAGAGAGGTTAAGTACCTTGCCTGAAAACACATGGTACTAAGTGGTCCATTCCCCAGTCAAACCTAGTTATGTGTTTGACTAACTTTTGTCTACTTTCCTAAGTGAATTCCTTTCCATATCTCCGTTTGCCCATCAATAAAATAGAGCACTTAAACAAAACATATCATTGGATGAAAGCACTCCCTCCTCAAGATTTCTCTTAATACCAAGTACTATAACTTGCTAGGATTCTTATATAGTGTAGTATTTGAGAACTAAATTTCTGCGTTTTTAAATAAGCTTAGATATTCAAGATCGAAAAATGGAACCTGAATAGAAGTTTTCCTCACAATGGAGGAAGATATAGTTTTAAATTTAGGAGGCCACAAAAGACCAATTTGAAGAACAAGGACTTAAATTGGATTAACTTTACAATTAATTGTAACATGAACTAGATGATTAGGGAAATTGGGCTAACTTAGTTGAAACTACTATTTTTCCCCCAAAGGGTTAGCTTATACTATTTGCAAGTGCCTCTACAATATACCAGTGATCAAAACTTACACCAAATTATGAAGTAAAGCATTCCCATGACACTATTTCAAAATATTTGATGGTTTAATTAATGATAATTTATTCCTGAGTTAACATCCTCATCTACATTTGCAAAATGTGCTTATTTCACTCATTTGTAGTTATAGCATTGAATATTATAATAGTATTTCAAAATGCCTGGTCAAAAAATCGTTGTGTTAGAGAAGATATGAACATGGAACATACTACTTTTGACCTGAGGTCTTCATGGAAGGCCCCCAAATACTTTGGAGACCATATGCTACCAGTGTTCATCAGTCTGTACTGTGAAGTAGGTGTGCCAGTGGCAGCAGACAAACTGAAATCTGTATATATTAACTTAATTTAAAATCTTACACTAATTGTTAGAGAATGGTAAGGTCTTAAGAATTTGTCGGATCCCACTCTTAATTATAGATGTAGAAGCTCTGGTCAAAGGGAGCTCACATAACTATGGCAGAAGTAAGATGATACCCAACCCTCTTGACTTGGGTCTTTCCTGTCCATAGGACCCCTCATCAGCCTCCTGTTGACCATTTACCACTACCATTTTTTTTTCAGTCACTTTGGTTTTGTATTGTTTTTTAAGTATTATTTATTTGAGAGAGATGGAGAATCCCATCCCAAGCAGGCTCTGCACTGTCAGCACAGAGCCCAGTGTGGGGCTGGAATTCACAAACTGAGACCATGACCCTAGCCAAAATCAAGAGTCTGATGCTTAACTGACTGATCCACCCAGGCACCCCACTTTTTTTTTTAATGTCCATAGTTGTAAAAATGGTTATAGGATGCCACCAACACATACTACAATGGGTGAAAACTTTTAGCTTTAATGCACTGATTTTTATAACTAACATTTAGAAGAGGAAAGAATATATACTATATAATATTAGCACACATGTTTATTTGTACTTTCCATGTGCCAGGCACTCTTCTAAGTTTCAATGTACTGTCACAACCATCCCATAAGATATACTTTATGATTAACTTCATTTTTCACATGAGGAAATTGAGGCATAAAGAGATTAGAATAACTTGCTCAAAGACATAAAGCTAATTAATAACTCGAACCCAGACACTGCCACCAGAGCCTGTGCCCTCAACCACTGTGCTGTATTGTCTTTCTGTTAAGTCAAAGCCACCTAAACAGAATCAAACCAGTCAAAAAAATCTAATGGAAAAACATGTTGCTCTCAAGTTTTACAAAAACCAATTAATGGATTTTTTTTTTTTTTTTTTTTTTTTTTTTTTAGGTTGGGAAATTTGAGGTCATTTAGATACATCTAGAAGCCAATGAGGAGAGAAACAGATAGAAAACCCAGTCATTAAATTCTGTACCACAGTGATAGGGCTTTTATGCCATCAGCCTGGTAGTCTCCTTTACTACAATATTTTGTTTAAATCCTAAACATTTCAGAAGTGAAAGGGTTTTAAAGATAATCTGTTCTTTCTATTCCCCTATTCTCTTCACTTAAAAAAAAAAAAATGGTGGCATCCGGCTGGCTCAGTCCAAAGAACATGCTCCTCTTGATCTTAGGGTTGTTAAGTTTGAGCCCCAACGTTGGGTGTAGAGATTACTTAAGATCTTTATTTATTTTTTTAAACTTTTTTTAAAGTTTATTTTCAAAGGAGAGAGAGACAGAGAACAGGGGAGGAACAGGGAGAGAAAGAAAGAATTCCAAGTAGGTTCTGTACTCTCAGCTCAGATCCCAATGTGGAGCCAGAACCCACGAACTGTGAGATCATGACCTGAGCTGAAATTAAGAGTTCAATGCTCTACCGACTGAGCCACCCAGGCACCCCTTTTTAAAAAAATTTTTTTTAAGTTTTATTTAAGTAATCTCTGTGCTCCATATGGGGCTTGAACTCACAAACCCAATGTCTAGAGTTGCATGCTCTTCTGACTCAGCCAGCCAGGTGCCCCCCAAAATAAAATCTTTTTTAAAAATCTGTTGGGGTGCCTGAGTGGCACAGTCTTTTAGTGTCCGACTTGATCTCAGTTCAGGTCTTGATCTCAGTTCAGGTCTTGATCTCAGGGTCATGTGTTGGACTCTGTGCTGGGCATGAAGCCTACTTAAAAAAAATTGCTAATGGAACAGATGTCTAGAAAAGGCCATGGTCTTATAATAACTACAGGGTATTGTCCCCCCATCCCCATCTCCCACCCTCTAAAAATCAGAACCTCATAATACAATGATAGGGTTGCAACTGGATTTCTTTGAGGTACAAAGCTGTTAAAAGGAAAAGCAGCCAAGGCTTGTTATCCTCAGCCTGTCGACCACAGTTTGAATGTAACTGGTAAGGAGGAGGGAGGATAGACTTGGTATTTAATTGACCTCCCAGCCACACAGTCTTGTTTTGATCAAATTATTAAGTAAGTTTTACTGTAGATCACTGGGGCATGGACTTTCTGGACTTATTTCGTAAATCCCGTAGCATGTGATTTCCATATAGTAGGTGCTAGTAAAGATTTACTGTTAGAATTGTTCTCTCAAACTGTCCCACAGTTAATGCCTCTGTTTTTATGCAGTAGTACTTCCCTATTCTTGGCATTCCAAGTGAGAGTTAGAAATTTGAGTAGCCCAAAGGCAACCATGGTATATTACATAATGGAATTCAAGTTAGTTACATTCACTTCATTGCATTGTGCTTGGTCAGCATCATCCACAATTGGACTTGATGAAAGTTGTCAGTAAACAGGTAATTTGGACATGGAGTCACTGACCATTTCAAAATGATTGTGATGTTTTTAAATTTACATACCAAAGAATCCACCCTTTGGGGAGTGCAGTTCTACGAGTTGTGACAAATGTATACTGTCACGTAAGCACCATAACACTGCTCCCTAAAAGTTCCATCATCCCCAGAATTTCCTT